TAATTAATAATTACATCTAATTAACGTATGTTTTAAACATTATAATGTAGTCTATATAATATAGAAATGTACGGTTATGATTAAGGAAAAATTAACACAGCGCCAATAAAAAAAGCTATAAATATCTCATACATGTTTAACATACATATATATTTACCATATTTATGCGTTTATATATATTTTCGTGGCATTTTCCTGTTCGTTATTTTATATTAGACGAGATGCCATTACACTCGTGTTGTGTTCATGAGTATGCTTGTTTATATGTATCTATACATATAAATAAAATTGGAGTGTCTGTTTGTTATATTGAAATAACCATTTTTCACTACATGCATATGAATATAAATACGGTACATACACCAAAATAACATTTTCTTCATTTTTTTCTGTTTGTACTGGCTAATCTCTGAAATGACTGGACCGATTTTGACCGGGACTTTTATTGGCAGGTAGCTGATGTAATAAGGAGTAACTTAGGACACTTTTATTTTAGAAAAATAAAGTTAAATTCCACATGGACAAAGTCGCGAGTGCAGCTAGTATTATATACATACTGTGCCCGCGTCTTCGTTCGCGTGGTCATAAAAAACACTGTCATAAAAAGAGCGAGTGGCAGGGGAAGCGGTTGAATGTAAACGTAGCATAACACAAGCTCTGCTTACCGTGGGACTAGTTTTTTTTTATACCACGTAGTTGGCAAATATGGGACACAGTCACCTAGATACATCAAAATAATAATTGCATTTAATAATGTCTAGTAAGACAAATTCAATATTGTCTACTAAGCACTGCTGTGTCTAAACTGTGTCACCCCACCTTACATTTTCCTATTTTTATTTAGTATATAAGATCATTATTTCTATGTACACATTGTCAGTTTATCATCATATGTAATATACATCGTCTCGACCAGCAACATCTTATTATTTACCCGCAACAGCAAACAAGCATACGGCCCATCTGATGGAACAATTACCGTAGCCTATAGACCCCTGAAACACCAGGGGTGACACGTGCGCGTTGCCGACCCTTAAGAAACCTTAATATACCCTTCTTGAAAAGATGGCGCTGTGTTAATTGTCCAGGGTTATTTATTATTATATATACATTTTGACTTAGCTGTTAGAAATAGTTTTTTTTTATAATTATTCACACCTGTACCTTTATTAACTGTAAATCAAACTGAATATACTTAGATCTATACTGAATTAAGTTCAAATTTCAATTTCTTGATATTAGACTTTTAAACTAAAAGTTTAGAGTGTATTTTCCTATATTTGTATTTTTTAAAATTAATGCATTAAAACCCAGTTGATATTAGACTTTAAAGCAAATAATTTAGAGTGGATTTTCCTACATTTGTATTTTAAATTAATCCATTATAACCCAGTATTATTTCGAAGCGTTCTGTATCGTATATATATTTATATATAAAAATTACGTGTCACGTTGTTCGTCCGCGATGGACTCCTAAACTACTGAACCGATTGCAAACTTGATTTGCACGTTGTGTGCAATTTGATCCAACTTGAAAGATAGGATAGGTTACATCTCAATTTATAGTCCCAATATTATTTTATTCAAGGACCTCAGCCACAGCAGCGCGTGTCTGAGGTCCTTGCATACAAGATTATATAGTATAATATATCTTCTACTCACTTTCAATTCACAAACTAGAAGTTAAGTCCATTTTTTTTCTTCTAAAATTACCTTTTTTTTAATGTTCACTTCACAAACCTATCACATCAATTGTCTATTCACAGGGTGTCTTGCAGGTCGCTACGTCATTGGACATAGACAATCAGCCTGTGGAAGAAAGAGTACATTTTAGAATACATTACAAAACTTTATTAGATTTCGTTTATAGTATAGGAGACAAACGAGTTTGCAGATCATCTAATGGTAAGTGATTACCGCCGCCTATGAGCACCCGCAATACTAGGGGAATTGCAAGTGCGGCTTTTTAAGAATGAATAAGTTTTTTTTAGCTTAGATCTCTTTTCAAGTTTCATTAGGTATTGTGTATTTGAGGTGATATGTGGGATTTATTAGTTCGTTAATTGTTTAATTCCACTACTATTTGATTGTGTGAGACTACAAACATTCAGTACGGAATTTCGATCACCAAGGGGGTGGACTGAATTTACCTTTTCAGCTACATATAAGTATGAGAGTGTAATAAGTACAGGGACGGACTTGCAGACTGGGCTTACCTTCGAGTTACATATAAGTACAAGAGTTGAGTCTGTACAGGGGCGGACTCTGTTCACCTTTAGAGATATATATAAGTATAAGAGTGCGGTACGTATAAGGACGGATAGGGCTCATTTTTTGAGCTACATATCTGTATAAGAATTCTAGCATCTACATGGGCTGACTCAGTTAAAGTGGTGGGGTACGTATAGACGCGGGGGCGGCGCGCCCTCAGCTGCGTGTGAGTACAGAGTGGGGTACGTACAGACGCGGACTACCGCGAGGCGCCCGCGGCCCCCGCCGCCAGGTCCACGCACAGGACGGCGGCGGGGGCGGCGCGCCCTCAGCTGCGTGTGAGTACAGAGTGGGGTACGTACAGACGCGGACTACCGCGAGGCGCCCGCGGCCCCCGCCGCCAGGTCCACGCACAGGACGGCGGCGGGGGCGGCGCGCCCTCAGCTGCGTGTGAGTACAGAGTGGGGTACGTACAGACGCGGACTACCGCGAGGCGCCCGCGGCCCCCGCCGCCAGGTCCACGCACAGGACGGCGGCGGGGGCGGCGCGCCCTCAGCTGCGTGTGAGTACAGAGTGGGGTACGTACAGACGCGGACTACCGCGAGGCGCCCGCGGCCCCCGCCGCCAGGTCCACGCACAGGACGGCGGCGGGGGCGGCGCGCCCTCAGCTGCGTGTGAGTACAGAGTGGGGTACGTACAGACGCGGACTACCGCGAGGCGCCCGCGGCCCCCGCCGCCAGGTCCACGCACAGGACGGCGGCGGGGGCGGCGCGCCCTCAGCTGCGTGTGAGTACAGAGTGGGGTACGTACAGACGCGGACTACCGCGAGGCGCCCGCGGCCCCCGCCGCCAGGTCCACGCACAGGACGGCGGCGGGGGCGGCGCGCCCTCAGCTGCGTGTGAGTACAGAGTGGGGTACGTACAGACGCGGACTACCGCGAGGCGCCCGCGGCCCCCGCCGCCAGGTCCACGCACAGGACGGCGGCGGGGGCGGCGCGCCCTCAGCTGCGTGTGAGTACAGAGTGGGGTACGTACAGACGCGGACTACCGCGAGGCGCCCGCGGCCCCCGCCGCCAGGTCCACGCACAGGACGGCGGCGGGGGCGGCGCGCCCTCAGCTGCGTGTGAGTACAGAGTGGGGTACGTACAGACGCGGACTACCGCGAGGCGCCCGCGGCCCCCGCCGCCAGGTCCACGCACAGGACGGCGGCGGGGGCGGCGCGCCCTCAGCTGCGTGTGAGTACAGAGTGGGGTACGTACAGACGCGGACTACCGCGAGGCGCCCGCGGCCCCCGCCGCCAGGTCCACGCACAGGACGGCGGCGGGGGCGGCGCGCCCTCAGCTGCGTGTGAGTACAGAGTGGGGTACGTACAGACGCGGACTACCGCGAGGCGCCCGCGGCCCCGCCGCCCGGTCCACGCACAGGACGGCGGCGGGGGCGGCGCGCCTGCGTGTGAGTACAGAGTGGGGTACGTACAGACGCGGACTACCGCGAGGCGCCCGCGGCCCCCGCCGCCAGGTCCACGCACAGGACGGCGGCGGGGGCGGCGCGCCCTCAGCTGCGTGTGAGTACAGAGTGGGGTACGTACAGACGCGGACTACCGCGAGGCGCCCGCGGCCCCCGCCGCCAGGTCCACGCACAGGACGGCGGCGGGGGCGGCGCGCCCTCAGCTGCGTGTGAGTACAGAGTGGGGTACGTACAGACGCGGACTACCGCGAGGCGCCCGCGGCCCCCGCCGCCAGGTCCACGCACAGGACGGCGGCGGGGGCGGCGCGCCCTCAGCTGCGTGTGAGTACAGAGTGGGGTACGTACAGACGCGGACTACCGCGAGGCGCCCGCGGCCCCCGCCGCCAGGTCCACGCACAGGACGGCGGCGGGGGCGGCGCGCCCTCAGCTGCGTGTGAGTACAGAGTGGGGTACGTACAGACGCGGACCAGGTCCCGCGACGGCGGCGGGGGCGGCGCGCCCTCAGCTGCGTGTGAGTACAGAGTGGGGTACGTACAGGCTACCGCGAGGCGCCCGCGGCCCCCGCCGCCAGGTCCACGCACAGGACGGCGGCGGGGGCGGCGCGCCCTCAGCTGCGTGTGAGTACAGAGTGGGGTACGTACAGACGCGGACTACCGCGAGGCGCCCGCGGCCCCCGCCGCCAGGTCCACGCACAGGACGGCGGCGGGGGCGGCGCGCCCTCAGCTGCGTGTGAGTACAGAGTGGGGTACGTACAGACGCGGACTACCGCGAGGCGCCCGCGGCCCCCGCCGCCAGGTCCACGCACAGGACGGCGGCGGGGGCGGCGCGCCCTCAGCTGCGTGTGAGTACAGAGTGGGGTACGTACAGACGCGGACTACCGCGAGGCGCCCGCGGCCCCCGCCGCCAGGTCCACGCACAGGACGGCGGCGGGGGCGGCGCGCCCTCAGCTGCGTGTGAGTACAGAGTGGGGTACGTACAGACGCGGACTACCGCGAGGCGCCCGCGGCCCCCGCCGCCAGGTCCACGCACAGGACGGCGGCGGGGGCGGCGCGCCCTCAGCTGCGTGTGAGTACAGAGTGGGGTACGTACAGACGCGGACTACCGCGAGGCGCCCGCGGCCCCCGCCGCCAGGTCCACGCACAGGACGGCGGCGGGGGCGGCGCGCCCTCAGCTGCGTGTGAGTACAGAGTGGGGTACGTACAGACGCGGACTACCGCGAGGCGCCCGCGGCCAGGTCCCCGCCGCCAGGTCCACGCACAGGACGGCGGCGGGGGCGGCGCGCCCTCAGCTGCGTGTGAGTACAGAGTGGGGTACGTACAGACGCGGACTACCGCGAGGCGCCCGCGGCCCCCGCCGCCAGGTCCACGCACAGGACGGCGGCGGGGGCGGCGCGCCCTCAGCTGCGCCGATGCTTCCCGCCTCGACGGCGACGCTCGCGCCGCACCTGCACGACATACCGTACCGTATAATGCAACACGATACAATGATAAACACAAAAAAAAACGCTGGACGAGTAATCAGAAACCCATCTAGTCCCGAGCTAAACAGAGCTTGAATTATGAGTGCTATTAATGAGGAAAAAGGAATTGTTAGTAATGTGGACTGATGATTATTACTAGCAATGTCCAATTCAGAACTTCCACGCGCTACCCCTTGGAAACCATCGTGATCAACTTGTCACGATGACCTAACTAACCCACCCACATACTCTTCTTATCCTCCACTGGTGTCCGGCCAGCGTAAACCATTAGAACAGGCAAATGAACCATTCCGTTATAATCCTTTAAAAATAAAATTAACTTAGATGATATAATCAGCTTAAATATATGTGATCAACTCACCATCCCGACCTCGCCGTCAGCCCAGCGCTCGTACGCGCGCTCCCTCTTCAACCACTCCTGGTATTTATACCACCATTCTTCCCACTTCACATAATCACCCAGAGTCAACCCTGAAAACATATCATAACTTTAAAACAAACCCTTGCCAGTCAGACATTGTTCTACAGAAAATATAACAATCAAAATTTTATCTTAGCAAAATGAAATGGAGAGAAATATTTTGAAACGTAGAAGACAAAAGACCAGAAATATAGACTGTTTGCCGCAATTTTTCCTTTCCTTACGCAAGGAATCTGAAAAGGACAGAGGTGCTTCGCCCGAGCCCGATCGACAAGACTCGGGCGGTCGTACACGCTGTCGATCGGAAGACGTTGAACGATGGCGAACAATTTTTCCAACCGCATAATAATTAGTACTTTTGGACAATATATAGACTAAATTCTTCGGACACTTGATACGGCACGATGATTTCATGAAAATTATTATTGAGGGAAAAATAGAAGGAAAGAGGGGAAGGGGAAGACCAAGGCATAGCTACATCAAACAAATTAAGGACAAAATGGGAGTCGTGTCGTATCAAGAATTAAAGAGCATGATGGAAGATCGCGGAAAGTGGCAAGAGCTCCACCGACAAGAGCGTAGCTCTTAAATTATGAATGAATGAATATACTAAATTGTAGCATCATGTGCTTCATGTAATACGCAGATCAGGTCCTTCTAGTGAATGATGACAAGTACCTGGGAATGCATCTGGATCGCAGACTGACTTGGCAAAAACACATGGATTATACGCAAACAACTAGACACCAAAATCCGTAGCTTAGACTGGATGATAGGACGAAAATCCCAACTTACCCACAACAGTAAAATGGCTGTATACAAAACCATCAAACATATTTGGACATATGGCATCCTACTATGGGGCTCAGCCAGCAATAGCAATATTGAAATTCTAGAGAGGTTCCAGAGTGAATTGCTTTTCGGTAGCTTCGCGAAAACTCCAGAACGGCTGAACCATTTCGCTAATTTTAGTCTTGAAATATTCGTGGAAGTCCAGGGAAGGTTTAAACGGTGATAAAATATGAAGAAATTGCATGTAAAATAGTAGAAACAACAATCTAGACACGCGGTAGCGTGTCAAGCCGAGTTTCAAGTAAACTGGCCTGCAGCACCGTGTGTATATTTACACGAACCATTTGGAAGAAACCGAAAATATCATTTCTTCTTATAACTTAGGATAATATACTGTAGCCTAAGGTCTAACTTGGCTAGTTTTCATATACGAAATATACTGTAGCCTTCGCAAGTTCTAAACATTTACAACAGTTACTTGTCGGTTCCTATTTTATTATTAGTAGTAACTAGCAATCGAAAGTAATAATTGGTATATGAGAACTGGCCAAGTTAGACCTTAGGCTACAGTATATTATCCTAAGTTATAAGAAGAAATGATATTTTATATTGTTATAAATACATTTCAGGACAGATCATTGAACTTGGCACCCATTTAGATCTCATCTCTTTTGTCGTAGAAGTCAACAATCAAGGTATATATCATAATATTAAACTCGGCTATCATTTCACATTTATGTTTTTGATGGGATATTGAAATTCTAGAGAGGTTTCAGAGTGAATTGCTTTTCGTTAGCTTCGCTAAAACTCCAAAACGGCTGAACCATTTCGCTAATTTTAATCTTGAAATATTCGTACAAGTCCAGGGACAGTTTAAACGGTGATAAAATATGAAGAAATTGCATGTAAAAGAGTAAAAATAACAATTTTATTTTCCCATACAAACTGCTGATACCTGTCAAACAGGGTGCGTTCAGAAATTTATTGCGTAACTACAAAGAACCTTTGACATATTCAATATTTAGATGGAACGGAGTACGCGGCGTCAGATAGTACAATACATAAATATACATTTTTTTTTTCGTCTTACCAAGCCTTTAACAGATTGGTTGTGGGACTGTTGACGGGAGAGAACTATACCTCCAGTGAGGAAACTGTCTCATCGGTGAATAAGATCCCATGCATGGAGTCTCTTAAGCCTTCTGCATTGCAAGGGGTCTCGTAGTGCTGTTGCGAGGATATTGGTATGCTTTTTTATTTCTCTTTGGACTTCTCGTGGAGAGCAGCTTTTAATTGGAAGAGATAATTGGGAGTCAGCCCTAAGATAGTCAAGTATCTCTTTTTCGGCTTCTTCATCACCGCCATTTGGAGTAGATACATATGGCGAACTTAACACTTAAAATTGTAGAGATTTCGCTGGTATACTAATGACTCCAATTTCGACCGCATATATTTTAACCACATATACAAAGAATAAGATACAAGAAGGTCATACTAAACAAAATCCGCACACATCTGACCCTGTCTATATAAATAACAAAATTCAAATTCAAAATATCTCTATTCATGTAGGTCTATTACAGACTCTATAATATGTCAAATCTACTGTCAGTTCGGAATGATCTCGAGATGAGAACTGACAAGAAACTCAGCTTGTATTCTTTTCAAATAAATAGAAGGTATAAAATACTTACCTCTGAGATAGCCCCGCTTCTTGTAGTAATCGTATCGCACTCTAACATCATCCCAGGATGGTAGACCTCCGGGGGCTGCAGCCAGCAACTCCTCAGGGTAGCTGCCCACCGGTGCTGGCTCCAAACCACTGCAACATAGTTATATGTATATTAACGACATCTGTCAAACGCATAAGGAACCAAAAGCGTCGTCATTGTCAAATGGAACACGGATGGCCTCCCTCTACAGCACTGAAAATAACTTCACTCGGGGCTTTGAATTTGTTTATAATTGTTAACAATTACGCGTTATACTTCTATGTAAAATTTGGACTATTAAAAATAAATACTTGTACCACAAACTATCTAATAAAACAATGGAATTGACATCAATAGAATTTAAGAACAATATAATTTGATATTTCGAGGAATATCCTTTTTATAATGTGACTGAATACCTGAATTACAATATAAAATTATGACATTCCATTAAGTGAATTTTAATTACTTTTATATATATGTTATATATTATTATTTTGAATATTTAAACTTGTAAATGTGACATAATTATCTTAAAAAAAAAATGTAATTACTATTGATGTGTAACGAGATTTGTTACATTTGTGAATAAAATAATATAAAATATGAAATACTTATTATTTGTTGGTTGTGTTAAAGCTGCTTTCTGTTTGCTTTGGGAGAAGTGTAAATTTTGTACTTAAATTTAAATGAAACGACGTTGTGTCTTCGTAATGTATTTTGGCGACTGATTGTAATGTACACAAACGGTGGCCGGCCGGCAGAAACACACATAACTATAACTACGGTCCGATATAGACCAACCATTATTATTAGGATATTAAATTATTTGTAATTACCAACAAGATTCTAAACTGTACAAGGGATAGGCGTGTTAGTTACATACCATGCTCCTCCTAAACGGATTTACCAATTTTTTTTAAACTTTACATGTACAATCAGTAGGTTTGAGAATCAACTACTATTTTTCATACCCCTAAGTAATAAGGGTTGTCTATCCCTAACGTTTTATTAATTTTTTTGGACATTTTGTGTATGACTCTGTAGCACTGCGACTTATATAGGTCTATTGTGCTCGCCCTTTTTCGGAGTTTGCTACCAAGACCCATTAAGGACAAGATGTGAAGGATATTCTTAGGAGCGTGGTTTTTATCTCCTCAGGAAAGAGTGTAAACTTTCCAAAGGAGATATTTCGTTTATGCATGAGTGGGCTACAACCACATAGGATGTGTAGTGCCGTTTCCTCTTCAGCTTGGTCTACAGATGTTTGTTGTCCTGTGCCAGAAGTGTAGCGTGTTTAGGCGTATAAAAATCTGTTTGAAAATTAATCCTTACGTAAAGAAATCTGTGAAGAATGAAAGTGTGTGATGCGAACCTATTGCGAGGCACTTTATCTTTCGTGAAAGTGTGTGATGCAAGCTTTTTTTTTTGTCACAGCATCATAAATAAATCACTTTTGATTACGCACGTCGGGGTCCTTGTGGCCCGGGTGCCCCGCATAATTGATACGGCAGATACGGTCCTGTCCTGTGCACGATTTTTATAGAATGTGTAGTGTGTAGTGTGGGGTACTGACGGGTAGGCGTCGGGCCTGGTGGCGGCCGCGGGGGGGTCGTCCTGCTCGTTGCCGCGCTCTATGCGCACGTGCAGCGTGGCCTCCCTGCGTGTGATGCGCATGTTCTCGAGCCGCGCCGACCGGTCCGCGGACCACTGCGCCATCTTGCCGAACCGTTCCGACAACGTCAACCTACACAGAGGGAAAGAGGATTGTTAGTCATGTGGACTGATGATCTTATGCTTATGCTAAGGTAGCAATGTACCATCTGACTTGATGGTACATTGCTACCTTAGCATAAGCTATAAATATGTATATTGACCTACACGCGATTGTTCCTGGAAACCATAGTGATAAATTGTTGGTGAATTTGTCACGATGGTATAGCTGATCTGACCTCATGCTCATCCTATCATCCTTCACTGAATTCGTTTAGAATTTAATTAACAACCTAAAAAGTTGTGATTAAGTATAAATATCACATTCAAACTTAGTAAGACAAAAAACAAAAATAGGTGACGAAAGTTTGTGTATAAATCCGTAATTTTTCAAGCTTTTTGATGAAATGATTTTTCCCCGTCTTTTTGGGCTTCAATTAACAAATATATTTTCTTTATATAACTAACGTTAATCGTTCCACACGTACAAGTGGAAGGCATAGCTATTTTAATATAAAACCAAGCATTATAACCCTGACCTCTGGGGCTGCGGGTCGGAGCTGGCGTCGGACTCGCTGTCGCTGTCGCTGTCGGCCAGCGCGGCCGCGATGGCTGCCGGGGACACGCCCCTGTCTGCGGGCTTGTCCCCGGGCGGGCGGGGGCGGCGCGCGGCGGCGGCGGGGGCGGCGGGGGGGCCGGCGGCGGCGGCGGCGGGGGCGGCCGTGGAGGCGGGGGCGGCGGGGGGGCGCCGCTCGCCCTCCCGCTTTATGTGCGTAGCGGGCAGAGGTGGCGGACGCACCGCTAGTTGTGTGCGCTGCCACTCCAATACCTGCATCAGACGTAATACTGTCTATATATTGTTTTAAATAATACTAGCAGACTCGGCCACGGTTTACTGTAGCTAAGGTCCTTGAATAAAATAATATTGCGGCTATAATTTGAGATGTAAGCTATCCTATCTTTCAAGTCGGATCAAATTGCACGCAATGTGCAAATCAAATTTGCAATTGATTCAGTTGTTTAGAAGTCCATCGCGGACAAACAATTTGGCACGTAACTTTTATATATAAAGATGTCACGTAGTTACACAAAATTCGTTTTTTTTTACTCAATGCGTCCAAAACTTGACCTTCAACCCAATATTACATCTACATCTTATATATAAAATTCAGTCACATTATTAGTTACCATATTCCTCAGAAATGACTTTCCCGATGTTTATAAAATTTGGGCCTGAACTGCAGAGGCCTACTGACCTTCTCCTCTCGGCTGCGCTTGCTGGCCTCCCTGGCCTTGAGCAGTTCCCTGGTGGGCTGCACGGCGCGGGCGGCGCCGGGCGGCGGGACTCTCTTGCGGGCGGCGGCGGTGGGCGGCGCCGCGGGGGGCGGAGCCCTGCACCAGACACATACGTTATACTCATATTATGACAGACTCGGTAGTCTAATGGTTTAATGGTCTAATGATGTAAGCACGCCACTTTACTTCCGATGGTCGCGGGTTCGATTATCCGCAAAGTACAAACATTTGTATTCATGAGTATGATTGTTTGTATCGGTTTATGTGTTCTCTATGTAAATTATGTATTTACAAAAAATATATGATCAGCTAATCTCTGAAATGGTTGAACGGATTTTGACGGGACTTTTTTTGGCAGGTAGCTGATGTAATAAGGAATAACCTAGGCTAGAAAAAATATTTTATTTCAGAATATAAAGTTAAATTCCACGCGGACGAAGTTGCGGGTGCAGCTAGTGTAATAATAATCTCAGGACAATTCACCATCCATCTAGACCCAAGTTAAGCTAGCTAGAGCTTGTGTTATAAGAACTACACATCTGTTTGTTTAACTTCCTAATTTGTTATTAATTAATACACGGGTATAGATTTGACGTATCTGTATGAAATACTGACATTACAACAATCATAAATAAAACAGTAAATGCGCTTCCATTACTTAACACAAGAGCGCCATCTATGGCGATTATAACTCATTTTAGTCTACATCATATTAAATATGTATAAATGTGTAGCAGTGTAACTGTGCTGATGTTGGCAATAAATGGATTTATTATTATTATTATTATTATTAAATATTGCAACTCATTTTAGTCTACATCAATATTAATAAGATTATATTAAAAGTTCATAATAAACTCACCTGGGCTTGGTACTCTTGGGTGGTGGAGGTCCGGTCTTCTTATTCTTCGCGGAGCACACCGAACACGATTCATCCGAACAACTGCTCACCGACGAGCCGGACTGCGAAGACTGGAACATACAGGGACATCAATATAAATTAAAAAAAAAGTAATTTTTACGGTTCAGTTTCAGCTACAGATTCAGTCGAGAAGAACTAGTAATAATAATAATAATTATAATTAGGATACACTTAAACATGTCGCAAATGCTTTCCTCCAAAACCGTCACTCCTCCGTTCGAGCGATCTACTGTATGAAGAGTCGTGACTTATTAAGAGGAAAATTCAAATATTCTCACCGTTGCTTCTCAATTTATATATTCAAATATCCTATATGTTTATAAAAATCTTTACTTCTTTCCAAAAAACAGAAATATTCATAATATTAATACTAGATTTAAAGACAAACTTGCTGTCAGCAATAATTAAAAAAAAGGCAATAGATCTTTTATGGAAATAGGTACAAAAAGATACCAAAGGATATATTGGAATTACCCTTAAATAAATTCAAAACATCTGTTAAATCATATTTACTGAGCAAAGCCTATTACTCACTAAACGATTACTTGAATGACGAGCGTGCATGGCAATAGTTTTCATGTTCGGGATTTTCATTTAATGTTAGACATAGACACCTATATAAATACATATGCATTTTAAATAAACTGGCTTTAAAAAAAAAGTAATTCAATTGAGTTTCTTGCCAGTTCTTCTCAATTGGATCTATATACCGAACTGGACGGTAGGGAAAAAATAAAATTATAATGTAAAAACTTGACGTTCATAAGCGGCTAACATGTCCTACATGAATAAATGATTTCTGAATTTTGAATTTTGATCAATTTCTGGTCCAATTCATACGGCGATAGAAATTACGACAGCCTGAGCCGAGGTTTGAATCCCTAGCGGTGCCTTCCCACTACAGTCGTATCCGTCAGGCGGGAGTTGGCCTTCAGCCGCTCCATAAGTCCTTCCTTTGGTTTGGAGTGCCATCTGCACTCGCCCCCTATCGTCCGGTGAAGCTGTAAAGGCCAGCTGCGGCCAGCATTAGAGTAGTCCAAAAAAAAAGCTGTCATTCTTAACCCATGCCGTATTGTAAGAAAATTTCTTTCATCATTCTCGTATAACTTTTAAACTAATCCACGCTTGGCTAAGAACCGCGTGTTTGAACGTATCACTCACTACTACTTGAGTGGTTTTTTTTTAAGGGATGGTAATGGATCGGTGCTTCCGCTTGCGCTAACGGTTTACGCTGGCGGGGCACCAGTGGAGGATGATAAGATGAGCACGAGGTGAGGTCGTGTACTGGAGTGGGTGGTGCTTACCTTCCTGGGCGAGGGCGGCGAGGGCGGCGAGGGGGGCCGCGCGGCGCGGGCGGCGGGGGCGCGCGGCGGGCGGGCGCGGGGCGGCGCGCCGCGCGGGGAGCGGCGCCGCCCGCCCGGGGGGCTCCGTCTGCGGGGGGACGGGTTTTAGTGACATCGATGTTATTGTTCATAACTTGATGTTGAGACTCGGTAGAATGCTAAAGCTATAATGAGTCACTGGCAGTTTTTATATTCGTGTTAAGGAAAATACTCTCTGCTACCAAAATGTTAGGGAAAGTACGTATATATATAGGGAAAAATATGTGGAAGCGTCTGTCACGTACCTGTATGGTTCTGCGGATTTCTTGGGCTTCAGGGTCTCGAAGGTATCTTCGCTAGCTTTCCAGTTTCACAGTAGGTTTAACACAGTTCTAATTTATTTTAATTCACAACACAATGCGCGCGCGCGTCAAGGCCGCTGTACGGTCAGTTCAGTACTGTAGGTAAGGGAGGGGAACAGAAACCGCGGGAACACAAACTAACGGACTCTAATATCATAATCTGTGCCTACGATGGCACAGAGCAGATTTTGAACAATTCGTTTACACCCATATTTAAAATATGAGAGTTCTTATTATACATTTGTTATTATATTACTTCTGTCACTGCGCTCTGTTATAATAAACGTCTCTACAAGCATCTCTATTACTTTCATTCATTTTTACTAAAGCGACTCCTACAATATTGGCTCGGAGGTGCATCGTGTTGTATGGTTGATAAAAATCCCACACTAACTGAGCTCCTACCGACGGATGAATAGGTACACAAGTTTAGAATTTTCGTAACTGGTCTCGGACAGTGTGGTTTCAGAGGAGCTTCGTCCCGCGTATACTTTCATTGTGGAACTAACTACTATAACTGCCAAGGTTTTCTCTTGAGATGACAGAATGAGATTTTCAAGAAGGCTTATTAGGGTTTCAACGCACACATGACACTCCTAGTGTTTCAGACTTCTATATACTATGGTAACTAATTAGAATCATATAGGTTCTATGCTTGATTGACACCATCATAGTATAAAACAAGTGTCACCTGAGGGGGCTCCTGCGGGGGCTCCGACGGGGGCTGCGCCGCAGCGAGCGCGAGCGCGACCTCCGCGGGGAGCGCCGCCCCACCACCGGCGACCTGCAACACACACCCTCTTCAATAACGACCAGGATTAGTGGTGCGGTTTACGCAATTTATTTATTTCTTTAAAGTTTAGGAACTTTTGTACAAATAACTACATGAATTCCCCAGTGGGCAAATTGCCTACTCCACTATGTGAAAGATAGGTTTTTACACCAAATAATATACATAGAAAACATCGGAAGTAAAGCTGCTAAATTGCTAAACCACCGAAGCCGTCAAACACTGATGATGAACTTCTTACCTAGACCTGCGTCCAGCTACAGGTGATCTGGACCGCCGTGGCGACACAGAGCCCGAGCCGTCCAAGTACATCTGCTTGTAACCCGTATGGCGCCATCTGTGTTCACAGAAATAGAAATAATCTTTATTCGAATAAACTGGACCCGCGGTTAGTATTAGTATTAATTAGTTATTAGTATTAATTATTGAATATTACTTTGACAATATACCTCAGAGTGCATATACATACATATATATATAACATAGAATCTTATCACTGGATCTGTAATTTGTCGGATTGACTCTTTTGTAAAAAATTCCGTACTATAGGGGACCCTTAGGCAGTACTCTATAATGCAACAAATTCGATGGTCCGACACTGCCCTGCAAAACGTTTGTCGGATAACCGGGGGTTGTAAACTCAATTTTTGAATAGTCATATTTTTGACTCTACACAATGAGGGGACAAGTAAAAGGCATGCCAAAATCAACACTCATTCTTAGTGCAATCAGGTAATATTGTCAGCGCTATGAATTTTAAGTTATTTTTACAAAAACATTATCATTTACAAACTCTTCAATTTTATAACAAACATTTTTACAGAGAAAGTGTTTTATACGATATTTGAATCTTTTCTCAGGCAGATTTATAATTACACTTAATCTTACTAAATGTTAAATTAATTATGGTCGCCCTAGGACGAAATGAACAATTCAACCCCTATTTTATCCCTTCTCAGATCAAATCATAATTATTTCAGTTAGCACTTCATAAAGACTTGTCAGAAAGCAACTGCCCTTCCATCAAAACAATTAATTATCCCAAACTCACCTGTTGGGATCCTTCTCCTCAACTTCCAGGAGCTTCCTGTCCCAGCTGCCCGGAGACGCCTGACGGGCTCTCTTCATCACGTTATCTATCTCCTTGCGACGGCCGGCTGGATTAGATGGATCTGAGGGATGAATTTTTTATTAAACACTAGCTGTGCCCGCGATACCGCGTTATATTTCAATATAAAATATAGCCCATGTCACTCAGATGCATAACATATATAAAGATTCATAAATCCGTTCAGTAGTTTTTGCGTGAAAGAGTAACAAACATCCATACTCACAAACTTCCGCAACAGAATCATCAGAATAACACATATGCTATTTCACGCGGGTGAAACCGTGGCCACAGCTAGTGAAAGAACATAATTAGAATTTTTGTAAAGTTACGACAATTAACGCTTTCTTCCGTAGATACGCTTCGAACGTACTGGATCGATTTGAAAATTTCTTTTACCATTAGAAGACAGAATATTTTCAATATCGTTAGGTATCTGTACAAGAACTTTGATAATGTAACCAAACGTGTGAAGGGTGGGAAGGTGATTGGTGTTAATGCCCATTGCTAGCAATGTACCATGTCAGGTTGACGTTCACATGTCTCTTCCTGGAAAACCATCGTGATAAATTCCTGGTGAATTTACCACGATGTGCTAACTGACCTGACCTCATACTCATCTTATTCTCCACTGTTGCCCAGCGTAAACCTTTAGAGCAGGCGGGCACCACCATTATCATTCATACAAACTCACCAGTGAGCCTCGAGTGCTGTGGGTTCCGATCCATGTGCAGCCGGTTCTTCGACGCTGTCTCAGCGGCCCGCGACACCGATCCATTTCTGCGGGACGACATCCTGCAAATGGAAAGAATATTTTGAAGTATCTGCATTACATTCCATTTTCTCTAAATTCTTTCTACTATATATTTATTATTCAAGACAGAAATGTAAATAGTCAGGTCACATCACGGGCTCCATAAAATATGGTCGAGCGCAATGGCTAGCCATACGTCATACTCGTGAACGGGTGCTGCTCGTAGGGACTGGTCTGCTCTAATAACTACGACTGATTTAATCCTATTGTGTATTTAATATCTGTCCCTAATAAATGAGTGATAGTTGGTGTTTTGAATTCCCAAGTTTCGAATTGGAAATGTGAAGTTACAAAAACAGCAACACATAAGTTTCTTGCTCGTTTTTCTTGTGATGATATAGATTTCCGAATGAGGGGTGGATTAAAAAAAATTATAACTATGACTATTCAAAAGTGCTTAAGTTAGGTTTATTTGAATAAATACAGTACAATACAGAGATAAAAGGTGGACTCTTCATGGTATAAGACTTGGAAATCTTAATAAGATAAATACATAATAAATAGCTAGGACAAAAGTGAACTCACCAATTAATGAAATGGCTAGGACTGTCAGGCAAAAGGCTAGTAGCAAGACAGACGTAAAGATGGTCTGATGACATCAAACATATAGCAGGAGAAAATTGATTGAGTGTGGCTATGAATAGAGAATCAAGGGGGCAAGATAGAGCCTTTTAACCACGTAGGACCATATATAAAAGTCTATATATATGAATTGCTGTTCATTAGTCTCACTAAAACTCAAGAATGGCTTAACCGATTTGACTAATTTTAGTCTTAAAATATTTGTAGATGTCCAGGGAAGGTTGTTTAAATATTCCCTGGACTTCTACGAATATTTTAAGACTAAAATTAAAAGTGATAAAATATGAAAAAATTGCATGTAAAATAGTAGAAACAACATTTATATTTTCCCATACAAACTGCTGTTACCTGTCAAACAGTGTTCAGAAATTGATTGCATAACTAACCTTCAAAAAACCTTTGACATATTTAATTTTGAGCCGAAACAGAGTTTTTGAGGTCAGCTAGTATATATATATAATTGTATTTATATGGAAAAATAAAGATTAAATAAACAAATTCATCTGTTTATAGCAGAAGAAAATTGGTCGAGTGTGGCTGTCAATAGAGAATCATGGAGCAAATTGGAGTAGACTTTTACCCATGACCATATATGAAGAAATCAAATAAAATTTTATATATATAAATACTTAGAATATGTTTATATGGGAAAATAAAGCTTAAATAAACAAATTCATCTTAGAATGTAGTTATAGCAGAAGAAAATTGGTTGAGTATGGCTATGAATAGAGAATCATGGGGCAAATAAGAGGCTTTTACCCATATGGGATCCTATGTGAAGAAACCAAATTGAAGATGTCTACATATATATATATGTTACTAGCTGTCCCGGTAAACATTGTTTTGCCTTAAAAAATAAAAAAAAAATTTAGGGGTGGACTACTCCTAACATTTAGGGGGATGAAAAATAGATGTTGGCCGATTCTCAGACCTACTCAATACACTCACAAAATTTCATGAGAATCAGTCAAGACGTTTCGGAGGAGTATGGGAACGAAAACTGTGTCATGAGAATTTTACACATTTTTACATTGTTTATATCTATAGGTTAAATGAAAATCCAGTGCATAAATAAATATTGCCATATACATTTGCCATTCAAGTAACTATTTATTGGATGGACTTTGCTTAATAAATATAAATAAAACTAAATAGCAATTTAGGGGTATTCTTGTTAGTACACCCAGCTGAAAGGTAAAAACCGAACCAGTATCATTAAGCTGAAAGTAATTTTTTACATTTAGATTATAAAGAATATTTTCAATTATTTACTTCTTTCAAAATCAAAATTTCTTTATTCACATGAGTCTATTAAACTCTTATGTCAAATCTACCAGCAATATCGAGGTAAGAGGAACTGACAAGAAACTCGGCTCTTATTATTTTCGAAATTAACTTGTACATCAGGGGTGTCAAACTCAATTTTGTAGAGGGCCATACATTAAACTCAGAATGTAGGCAGGCCATATTCAAATAAAAATAAATTACAGATTTATCATAAAAATTTATTTATTTCATTATATATAGCATCTTATAGCATTATAAATGCAAAAGTTTTTGAATATGGATGTTTATTACTCTTTCACGCAAAAACTAAACAGATTTTGATGAAACTTTACAGTCATATTCCTTATACATCAGAGTAATATATAGGCTATAAATTTCCTACCGGTGAATACATGAGTACAGCTAGTATGAAGGTTGTTAAAAATCACATTGTGATCCTGGGCCTTAGGGGCTGTTCAAGTATTACGTAAGCAGATTTATCACACCCCCCATCCCCCGTTGTCAGCAAAAGTAAGGCTCTTACCCCTCCACCCATGCTTACGTAAACATCTCTCAATTAATGTATTGTTTTTTTTAAAATAGTTAAACATGATGTAATCATTTTAACAGCAAAGAAAAATAATTTTATACAACCTGAGGGCTGTTGTACATTATTAAAATAGTTAAACAGGTTTTAACAGGAATAATTTTATGGCAAAAATATAATTGCTCAAAACTACATATTGAAGCAAACCTGTAGCGCACCCTGGTTTATTCGTAACTCGGAGGTTCATCACCACCTAGGGATCAACTCTGTCAAGGAGGAAATCTCTCAAACAATAAAAAAATATAAAATTAAACTAGACAGACATCCAAATAAACTTGAGCAAAGCCTATTACTCACTAAACTATTACTTGAATGACGAGCGTGCATGGCAATAGTTGTTTATGCACGGGATTTTCATTTAATGTTTTGACATAGACACCTATATAAATGTACATAGTAAATAAACTGGCTTTAAAAAAAAGAAATGTGGTTGAGTTTCTTGCCAATTCTTCTCAATTGAATCTGTATACTGAACTGGATGTTAGGGAAAAAATATAATATAAAAAATTTGACACAAAATACCTGAATAAATTATTTTTTTATTTCAATTTCAATGCAATGACTGCCAGCATTTTGATTGTCTGGCATTTTTGTTAAATGAAAATAATTTAATTAGTATATTTGTGATACACATTGTTTTATGAGGCCTATCACTTTCAGTTTGATGTACAGTTTATGATGAACCTAGATGTTACTAACCTGTATGGATATTTCCTCCTTGTTCACAGCTGTGATCATTTAATAACATGACAGAATACTGCTAAGTTTATTTGGACAAAGATCACAATTTGCAAGTTATACTACTATTATAAAATGAAAAGTGCCTTTTTTACCTTTTTATGACTAAATAGAATTTAATGTAAAGATTGCTTGTATTATCTTACTAGAACAGATGAAGGCAGGTTTTTCAGAGTATTATAAAAAGGATAGTTGTTTTTTTATTGCATATTTGTTTGTTTGTCATAGACAGACATAAATAAAATAGAGATTGTAGCTTTTTAGGAATATGTTCCTGACTTCATCTTTTTCCTAAGGTTAAATCTCAAAAGGTGATTCAAAGGTGACATGTGTAATATTTTATATGCAATTCTGTCTGTTGTAACACGTATTTACGTGTATACGTAATTTGATTATTTTATGAGTAACTCGCGTAAGTTGCTCTAGTTTACAATCTAAATTGTTCTATTTTTAACAGCTTTCACAAGATGGCCGCTACCAAATCGATTTTCTGTTCCCCTCAAAATTAGAGCTTACCTTTGGCGCTCCGCTCACGATTCGGCTGGAGCGAGGGCTCCGAACGCGCGCGGCGAGACGCGGGGGCGAAGCCCTAAGCGCGGGCGGCGGTGCCACGCGACGGGGCTGACGCGATGCCCGCAGCGCCGCTGGAAATAACCGACATACTTAATTTCACGAAAGCGGCGCGCGGGCACGATCACGAAATGCCTTTCGAGAAGGCTGTACGCGAACGGAGACGCCCACGCGGGGCGAATATGCAGCCTCCGGGCTCACGCGGCGGCGGGGCCCACGGTACGGGCCAAACGCGACTTAATCGGGTCACCTCATACTCCAAATTTCCATCTTCCATTGCGACTCCACCCTTCAGATGCGGCGACAGCTGAACATCAAACATACTAAATCCACTATAATTAATCACAAAACAATGTTACGAACCAGCAATAATAAACACCAAAACTTTTTCACTGTAACTCAATGGTACACAGCCGATTTCAAATGAATAACTTCAGCGACACACCTCCATGGGAACATCGGCCATTTTGTTTTGTTTTTCTTTTGTTCAATAATTCAACTCATTCAATGGCCACTTCATTCACTGCGCTGCTGTACTGACTGACTTGACTGTACAGAGCAAGTGATCAGCACAAATCTACACAAACTGAATAGAATTGTAGAAATTATTATGTAATTAGTAACCAAACCACATTGTAATTTATAAATAAGAAATTATTCGTATTAAATCTGGATATAATATCAAAGACTTCATGCAGTAAAATAAATTTGAATCTTATTCGTAAAAGTTAAAGTTACTTTTTTAATACAGTCCACGAAGTAAAATTAATGGTTGCATGAGAGCTTAGCTTAAGGGATTCCGTCTCTTTCGCACTATCTGACAAAATTAATAAATTGCAATGTTATAGAATATAGATGGCATTGTATAAATGCTTTACACATTTATGTTATTCAATTATTGTCAGTAGATGCCTTTTACGTATAAGAAACAAAGTTACGGACTCTACTAGTTTATATATAGGTAGCTCTATTGATGAAAATATATGAAATTTGGTACTAACATATTATTTTCATAATTCATAGGTATATGTAAGAAATCCAACAAATTAGAAAGGACAAAATTGACTTTTTATATATAGTTGAATTGGTTATATTACATTTTTTATGGACAACTTCGGTTATCTAGCGGTTTAGCACACTGCCATACTTTCGATGGTCGTAGGATTCATTTCTCGCACGATACAAACATTTGTATCCATGAGTATTGTTGTTTGTTTTGATCAGAGTATATGTTTGCGATCGCAAATAGCCCTTTACTTTATTGAAAAAATAAAATTTCAAATTTCGAACGTCAGGCACAGAACATGGATTCTATTTTATATACAATTTTGTACTCCTTCTCGAACATTCCGTGGCGTCATTATTAAAATCAACGTACAATACATTCAAAGTATTCTTTTTATTTCAATTTAAAATAAATCAACAACTGCAATATTCCTCCAGCAAACAGTATATTATGTATTTATTTACAAATGTATAGTATCCACTAGTTCTGCTTATCCCAGGACTAGATGGCGCTTTATGACTTGTCGTGTGCTATTATTTATATTTATTATTATTTTTATGGGTCATTTACCTACATTATTTGTGTAAAGAAATACATGTACTGTACTCAATTAAGTATCATAAGCTTAGATAAACTTTCAAAACTTGGTCAATCTGGTCATAGGTCGAATATGATTTGTGAATATATTTAGATGGATAAATTTTATCAACTCATTAACCCGAGTAAAAAGAGACGTAAGCGTAACTGTCGCCTATATACATGAACAGCACTACGGACGTCACGTCATCACGTGATCTTAATATGGTGCAGATCTGAAGGACTATGAGGTCCTCCATGCACTGTAATTTCACAGGCCATATCTCTCAACAAACTGTCTATAAACTCATGTTCTCCTGGTACTTATAATGTAGTTTTGAATTTTTTTAATTGCAATGACAAACAAGCTGACGGTCTACCTGATGGTAAGTGATAACCGTCGCATATATACATGAACAGCACTACGGACATTTACGACCCCTCTTATTTTGTAATTTCACTACTTTATTTACTCTCCCTTCAGCCGAAACACAGTTTATAAAGCAAGCTACTTGGCGACAGATAGGCGAAGATTGAGATAGCAATAAAGTTTTTAAATATAGAACGTGGCTGAAGGACATGTATCTATACCAGTATATAAAAAAAAATAAAAGAGGATTATTTAAACAAACAAATTTAATACATTAAGGAAACAATTTCCCCTATCTACCAACTGTTTCATAATGTTGAACGTATCAAATATAAAGCAAATAAGATTTCAAATACACAATAATATTTATGCCGTCTTATTTCTGTTTCCATAAACTTAAACCTCTGTACCACTCGTTCCTTCGATTCACAAAGGTCAAATAATTAAAAATAAGCTCGTCTGCTCTACGATAAAGATGTTCTATATTTAAATTTAAACCGCCATGATATCACTGCGTGTGTTCCAGACACGCGCATATACCGTGTATCTATAGATAATTTATATTTGTGTGCTTCATTAAGTAATATACAGTTACCTAAAACAAGACTTGGTAAAACTTTTAAACAAGGCATTAGTATAAAAATCAAAATGTATAATAAACTATCTATGCACATAAGAGAATTACCCCCAAAACAATTCAAAACTAAAATAAAATCTTTTTTTGAAAAACATCCTTTTTATAATATTAGCGAGTATTTAGACCTAAATATAATTATGTCGTAATTGTGACTACGGAACATATTATGTTATTAGTTATTATTAATGTAATTTTGTTAATTAACGTAATTTTATTTATTAATGTAATTGTAATTGAATTGAATTTGTATAAATATGAATTACTGTATCTTATGACTTGCCATATATGTAAAGAAGTTTTTTACATTGGTTAATAAACGAAATATGAAATATGAAATAATATTTCATTCAACTGCGGTTTCTGTGTGGTATTTTGTTTTTCGGACTACTCTAATGCTGTTGGCCGCAGCTGGCCTTTACAGCTTCACCGGATGATAGGGGGCGAGTGCAGATGGCACTCCAAACCAAAGGAAGGACTTATGGAGCGGCTGAAGGCCAACTCCCGCCTGACGGATATAACTTTAGTCTGAGGCCACCGCTCAGAGTTTGAACCTCGACTCGATTTTTTTTTATTTTATTCGACATTTATTTTTATTATGTATTAAAAAATACATACAGCCCTAAATTTTACCCTTCTATCACCAACCCCTATTTTTTAATAGTGATTTCAATTTATGTGGCAAAACAACGTCTACGGGGCCAGCTAGTCTCATCATCTGCTTCATCCTTATCCCATTTATTTGGGGTCGGCGTAATATGTTTTTCGTTTCCATTCATCCCTGTTCGCAGTCATCGCGTTATTTACTTCCTTTCTTACCATATCATCTTTCACACAGTCCATCCATCTCTTTTTTGGCCTTCCTCTGCCCTTATAACCATCCACATTCATTTGTAACATCTTTCTTAAAGCCAGCTAGTCTAATCTAAACATATAAATAAAATTGGAGTGTCTGTTTGTAATATTGAAATAACCGTTTTTTACGGTTATACATGCATATGAATATAAATGCAATACAATTTTTGTCCGTCTGTCTGTCGGTCTATTTGTTCCGCCTAATCTCTGAAATGGCTGGACCGATTTTGACGGGACTTTTTTTGCCAGGTAGCTGATGTAACAAGGAGTAACTTAGGCTACGTTTCTTTTAGAAAAATAATGTTAAATTCCACGCGGACGAAGTCGCGGCTCCAGCCAATAAGAATATATCCTACAATATTATAAACGTGAAAGGTTGTGAGTATGTATGGATTTTGTTTTGATTGTTAGTCTGTCACAAAAACTACTGAACGGATTTTGATGAAACTTTACAGTAATATAGCTTATACATCAAAATAACACAGGTAGGTTCAAAAAGATATTATGTAAATTGGGCAGAATATAATAACAAGTGGGATGCAGACGAGGTTGCGGGTCAGCTAGTATATAAATATAATATCACGAATTCACGATTAAACAACAGTTTTAAATATCTATATTTAGATTAATATTTGTCAATGATATCATGAGGTAATAATACCATGAATTATTGAATGCAAATATTGTCATATTTACTTACTGGTTCAAAATGGCGACATATTGTTTTTTGAATGGATGATAATTTTTTTTTTATAACATAGGGTACAAACGAGCATGCGGCTCATCTGATGGTAAGTGATTACCGCCGCTCACCTAATGGTAAGTGATTACCGCCGCCCATGAGCACCCGCAACACCAGGGGAATTGCAAGTACGTTGTCGGCCTTTTAAAAAGGAATAAGCTCTTTTCTTGAACGTTTCAATATCGTATCGGTTCGGAAATACCATTGCTGGAAGGTGATTCCACAATGTGGTTGTGCGAGGCAAAAAGTTTCTAGAAAACCGTACCGTTAACTCTGATTTACGCTGGCGGGGCACCAGTGGAGGATGATAAGATAATACATGGTACAATGCTTGGAATGAAGCCACTTGTGATCTCCAATTGCTATTTTTTGTGTTTCTTTACATAGATAATAAACAACCACATATAATTTGTAGTGGATTGTTAGTAATGGGAACTAGTAATTCGCATTACTACCAATGTACATTGATAGGTCGTCCTCCACGTGGTTCCCCCTGGAAATCATCATGATGAATTCCTAGTGTAAGATATACCAATTCTATGTACTAGTAAATGTATGTATTTTAGCGTCTATATTGTTACCGCTATTATTTATGTTTATGTTGTGTTCTTGTAGCAACAGCGGGAAAGAAGGAGGTGAAATGATGAGTCCAGATTGTTGTTATGTACATATTTATAATTACGAAATATTTACAATGAATATATAGGTATGTACAAGAAAGTGATTCGGTCTCGAATGACAGGGTTGTTATTCTATTCGTTTGTCGTAACTAGGCAACGGTGTTGCCGCGCGATAATAGTTAATTCGCCACATATTATAATAAAATAACAACTATACAACATTAATTTAACTATGTCTCTAACACAATTCATTTTAGCAATTAAAATATAACCAGCACATCCTGTGCTCAAAGACCGAATGCCGCGGCCTTTACTACTCTAATGCTGTTGGCCGTAGCTGGCCTTTACAGCTTCACCGGACGTTATGGGGCGAGTGCAGATGGCACTCCAAACCCGCGGAAGGACTTATGGAGCGGCTGAAGGCGAACTCCTGCCTGACGGATACGACTTTAGTCTGAGGGCACCACTAGGGGTTCGAACCTAGGCTCAGGCTGTCGTAATTTCGATCCCCGTTTGAATTGGACGGGGGATCGATCGGAGGGGTGCCGCGGCCTACAAAAACCCTCCCTTTTATACAGAGAAGATATAAGTGGGGGTTATATGCAACTAGTTTAACGATACCCAGTAATAATGAAACTACCTTCTTTTAATATAAAATATCAGATTTTTCGAAAATATACATGTGAACCTAGGGAATTTGTCAGGGTATGCTCACTGACCTGACCTCATATTAATCTTATCATCCTCCACTGGTGT